AACACCACAAGAACAAACCACATATTCAATGCGAAAACCAATTAACTTCAATTCTAAATAGAAATGCGTTAAATTCCCTCCAATTATTAAATCTGAAATCAGTAAACACTTCTAAAAATATTATTCGAAGAATGTTCTGGTTATAACCAAAAATTCCTTTTGAATTTTGGAAACGTGAACACATACATATGTATTGTACACATAAGATCAGTTTCATGTGTTCAAATAATATTGATACATGCACTTTAAATAAAACCAATGTCAATTTATATTATTTTGTTATTTTGTTCGATTTTCTGTGGCTTTAATGCAATCTAATACCTCGAGGTAAATAAAGAGATTATCAAAAATTATAATTTTTTTAATACGACTTTAGTGCAATTTATAGAAAGGCGCACTGTCCAATTGTAATTGCATCAGGTTGTCCTTTGATATTGAAGGTTTGTACTTAGCACCAACTACCTTACAGTTGAGGAGGCGAATTTTGTGTGCTACTAATTGAAAATAAATTTATGTTTAGAATATTTAGCACAAATTGCTAAGTAGGTAATCAAGGGCAGCAGCGAACAAAGCAAATAAAGCGAAATGAATAAAAGCGTTACGTTAAAAACGTTATTGAAGTACAAATAAAATAAACAAGCCCTTCCGAAGCGAACGGAAGAACAAGAAATTTTCGAATTCATGCCGGTCGGAATACAAATTTTTACCAAATCTAGACAAGCGCAAGCTTTATGCAATTCGATTAGAGAGGCAAATAGCGTATCCAGGGAGTAATGTGAACAACAATTGTGGACAAGTTTGCGGACAGACTGAAAATTAATGTAATTCTTGCTCAAGTAGCAATATATATACAATATATAGCAGTTATATTTATGAGACATAATGTTGAATACCAAAATGCGATTATTACTTTCCTATTATAAAAACCCTGTGCGACTCATACTCAGCTCCCAATTTATTATCTTTGTTTTGGCACTCAAAACTTATGGCTGAAAGTTTATATAAATACGCTCATACAGCCAGGCAAAACTACTTTGCGGCTTTGGACCTTTTACTACTGAAAAATCTGTTCCCAGAGCTCGAGTTTTGTGGTACAGTGGTCTTCGGTGATATAGAACTTAAGAAATTTCTGACCATATCTAATTGTACACACATAGCTTTTTATTCTTTAAGGCAATATTTTCTTGGTACTAAGGGTCTAGAATGTAACTGGTTGTGGAATGTAACCCTTAGTCCATGCATATTTGTTTTAAGCTTAAGGACAATTTTCACTATCTCCACTGAACCGGAGCATAATTTTTCTAACTAAAAAGTAAAATACGAACAACTTTTTAATTTGCTCAGCTTGGCAAAGTTTAAAATTGAAAAAGCAACTAAAGAAGGATCCAAGGTATCTCAGGCAATTAATATAATTAAAAATTCATGACAACTCTTCAACCCGGAAAACCTTTAACTCTGATGTGTGCAATGAATCAAATCTTGCCAAAAAATTATTTTGACGAACTCCTTTTATTTTATTAACAAATTTTTATGTTATTTTTAGCACTTTTGTCGCTGATGAAATAAAATAATATGATTCCACGACAAAGAAGCGCATGGAAAACTGAAACAATAGAAACATCTCTTAATAAAATTGCAGCTAGGAAGTGATAGTACTAAATAAAGCGAATTGAAGGCGAAAATTCGGAAAACAAATAGTAGATCCATGCTTAGAGAACAAGAGTAAACAATAAGCAACATAAAGAGGTTTCTCCTTCAAACTAGTATTGTTCACAAAGAAAAGCATATAAGTGTCAAAAGCAAATAAGCTAAGTCAAATAAAAAAAAAACAAAAAAGAAAGAAAATATTTGTCGCTTGTGTCTAATTCATCACTTCTTCTCTCACCTTGCAAGGCTTGAAAACTTTTGTTCCCCCAAAGAGTCGCCATTGTCGTTTATTTTTGGGTGTTATAAATATCGTGGGAACCTTAATATAATATATCTTGTTGCTGGGTTAAAATAAAATAGCCATTATCCCGTTCAACGAAATCAATTTGTAAAGCTTACAACAAAAAATTGGGTATCTAA